CTCCCAGTCACACACACACTCTCCCAGACACACACTCTCCCAGTCACACACAGGCTCTCCCAGTCACACACAGACTCTCCCAGTCACACACAGGCTCTCCCAGTCACACACAGACTCTCCCAGACACACATAGGCTCTCCCAGTCACACACAGACTTTCCCAGACACACACTCTCCCAGACACACACAGGCTCTCCCAGTCACACACAGACTCTCCCAGTCACACACAGGCTCTTCCAGTCACACACAGGCTCTCCCAGACACACACAGGCTCTCCCAGTCACACACAGACTCTCCCAGTCACACACAGGCTCTCCCAGTCACACACAGGCTCTCCCAGTCACACACAGACTCTCCCAGTCACACACAGACTCTCCCAGTCACACACAGGCTCTCCCAGTCACACACAGGCTCTCTCAGACACACACAGACTCTCTCAGACACACACAGACTCTCCCAGTCACACACAGGCTCTCCCAGACACACAGACTCTCCCAGTCACACCCAGGCTCTCTCAGACACACACAGACTCTCCCAGTCACACACAGGCTCTCCCAGTCACACACAGGCTCTCCCAGTCACACACAGACTCTCTCAAACACACACAGGCTCTCCCAGACACACAGACTCTCCCAGTCACACACAGGCTCTCCCAGTCACACACAGGCTCTCCCAGACACGTACAGGCTCTCCCAGACACACACAGACTCTCCCAGTCACACAGACTCTCCCAGTCACACACAGACTCTCCCAGTCACACACAGGCTCTCCCAGTCACACACAGACTCTCCCAGTCACACACAGGCTCTCCCAGACACACACAGACTCTCCCAGATACACACAGGCTCTCCCAGTCACACACAGGCTCTCCCAGTCACACACAGACTCTCTCAGACACACACAGGCTCTCCCAGACACACAGACTCTCCCAGTTACACCCAGGCTCTCCCAGTCACACCCAGGCTCTCCCAGTCACACCCAGGCTCTCCCAGTCACACACAGGCTCTCCCAGTCACACACAGGCTCTCCCAGTCACACACAGGCTCTCCCAGTCACACACAGGCTCTCCCAGTCACATACAGACTCTCCCAGACACACACAGGCTCTCCCATACACACACAGACTCTCCCAGGCACACACAGGCTCTCCCAGTCACACACAGGCTCTCCCAGACACACACAGACTCCCCCAGTCACACACAGACTCTCCCAGTCACACACAGGCTCTCCCAGTCACACACAGACTCTCCCACACACAGACTCTCCCAGTCACACACAGGCTCTCCCAGTCACACACAGGCTCTCCCAGTCACACACAGACTCTCCCAGTCACACACAGGCTCTCCCAGTCACACACAGACTCTCCCAGACACACACAGGCTCTCCCAGTCACACACAGACTCTCCCAGTCACACACAGGCTCTCCCATACACACACAGGCTCTCCCAGTCACACACAGACTCTCCCAGTCACACACAGGCTCTCCCATACACACAGACTCTCCCAGACACACAGACTCTCCCAGTCACACACAGGCTCTCCCAGTCACACACACACTCTCCCAGACACACACTCTCCCAGTCACACACAGGCTCTCCCAGTCACACACAGACTCTCCCAGTCACACACAGGCTCTCCCAGTCACACACAGACTCTCCCAGACACACATAGGCTCTCCCAGTCACACACAGACTTTCCCAGACACACACTCTCCCAGACACACACAGGCTCTCCCAGTCACACACAGACTCTCCCAGTCACACACAGGCTCTTCCAGTCACACACAGGCTCTCCCAGACACACACAGGCTCTCCCAGTCACACACAGACTCTCCCAGTCACACACAGGCTCTCCCAGTCACACACAGACTCTCCCAGTCACACACAGACTCTCCCAGTCACACACAGGCTCTCCCAGTCACACACAGGCTCTCTCAGACACACACAGACTCTCTCAGACACACACAGACTCTCCCAGTCACACACAGGCTCTCCCAGACACACAGACTCTCCCAGTCACACCCAGGCTCTCTCAGACACACACAGACTCTCCCAGTCACACACAGGCTCTCCCAGTCACACACAGGCTCTCCCAGTCACACACAGACTCTCTCAAACACACACAGGCTCTCCCAGACACACAGACTCTCCCAGTCACACACAGGCTCTCCCAGTCACACACAGGCTCTCCCAGACACACACAGGCTCTCCCAGACACACAGACTCTCCCAGTCACACACAGGCTCTCCCAGTCACCCACAGGCTCTCCCAGACACACACAGGCTCTCCCAGTCACACACAGACTCTCCCAGACACACAGGCTCTCCCAGTCACACACAGGCTCACCCAATCACACACAGGCTCTCCCAGTCACACACAGGCTCTCCCAGTCACACACAGGCTCTCCCAGATACACACAGGCTCTCCCAGTCACACACAGGCTCTCCCAGTCACACACCAACTCTCCCAGTCACACACAGGCTCTCCCAGACACACACAGGCTCTCCCAGACACACAGACTCTCCCAGTCACACACAGGCTCTCCCAGTCACCCACAGGCTCTCCCAGACACACACAGACTCTCCCAGACACACACAGGCTCTCCCAGTCACACACAGGCTCTCCCAGTCACACACAGGCTCTCCCAGTCACACACAGGCTCTCCCAGATACACACAGGCTCTCCCAGTCACACACAGGCTCTCCCAGTCACACACACACTCTCCCAGTCACACACAGGCTCTCCCAGTCACACACAGGCTCTCCCAGATACACACAGGCTCTCCCAATCACACACAGGCTCTCCCAGTCACACACAGGCTCTCCCAGTCACACACAGACTCTCCCAGTCACACACAGACTCTCCCAGACACACACAGACTCTCCCAGTCACACACAGGCTCTCCCAGACACACACAGACTCTCCCAGTCACACACAGACTCTCCCAGTCACACACAGGCTCTCCCAGTCACACACAGGCTCTCCCAGTCACACACAGACTCTCCCAGACACACACAGACTCTCCCAGTCACACACAGGCTCTCCCAGTCACACGTAGGCTCTCCCAGTCACACACAGACTCTCCCAGTCACACACAGACTCTCCCAGTCACACACAGGCTCTCCCAGTCACACACAGGCTCTTCCAGTCACACACAGACTCTCCCAGACACACACAGGCTCTCCCAGTCACACACAGACTCTCCCAGACACACACAGGCTCTCCCAGTCACACACAGGCTCTCCCAGTCACACACAGGCTCTCCCAGTCACACACAGGCTCTCCCTGACACACACAGGCTCTCCCAGTCACACACAGAGACGCTTACGTAGACACAACAGGCTTGCCCAGAGACCCCGCGAGCTTGCCCAGAGACCCTCAGGGTCACGCAGAGACCCTCAGGGTCACGCAGAGACCCGCAGGGTCACGCAGAGACCCGCAGGGTCACGCAGAGAGCCACAGACTCACGCAGAGACCATTAGGGTCACACAGAGACCCGCAGGGTCAGGCAGAGACCCGCAGGGTCACGCAGAGACCATTAGGGTCATGTAGAAAGCCACAGGCTCACCCAGAACAACTCGCGCTCACCCAGAGACCCTCTTGGCTATTTCAGACACCTGCAGGGGCACGCAGAGACCCGCAGGGCCACGTAGACACCCGCAGGCTCTTCCAGACTCACAACGGCTCGCTCAGAGACCCGCAGAGACCCGCAGGGAGCCGCAGGGACCCGCAGGGTCACCCAGGGACCCTCGCCCGGAGACCCGCATTGTCTCTCAGAAACCCGCAGGGTCACGCAGAGACGGTCGCGCTCGTCCAGAGAGCCACAGTCCACATCCTCCTATCTCCTCCCTCCATCTTTCCTCTCCCTTTGCTCTCACCACTCCGTGTCTTCCTCTCCCTCCCCCCCCCATTCTCACCCTTCCCCCTCTCCCCGCCTCACGCCGCCCCCCCGAGTCCGCTGTTCTCGCTCAGCAACCCAGAGTCAGGGAGAGGGGGGAGAGAAGTGTGTTGGGTTAACGCCACAAGCGTGTGGCGATAACAAGGACGTCACGAGAGAAATGCCCTTAAAGCCCCAGTTTACAAAGCATGTTGGGTGGAAATTCCTCGTTGCTTGCGCCGGGAACAAAAACCTCGGAAACGAAACCAAACCCCCCCCCCCCTCCCCCCCCGGAAGCGGAACGCGTCCACCCCGCGCCGAAGACGGAACCGCGAAACCAAAACGGAGATAAAACAAAACCCGCGTCCGAGCACAAAATCAAACGCCGCTTGGAAGCAGCGGCGGTGCGCGGCCTGTTTGTCGCGTTCCTGCTGCGTGTGCGTCTTGAGCCGCTCTGATGTGAGACCACTGGGGCTTTAAGATCTCGCTCGCCCGCCCGCCCCCATCCCCACCGCGCCGGGCGCCGCGCGATCTCGCCGAGGAGGAGGAGGCGGGAAAGCGGCGGCGAAAATGTGTGCGGCGACGCAGCTTGTTGCTGTTGGCGGCGGCGATGATTGTGGAGGCTTCGGTTTTGTCACGGTGACTGTTTATTACGGGGGGGGGGGGGGGGGGGCGGGAAACTCGCGGCGTTTTTGAATGGAAATAAACCAAGCGCCCCCCCCCCCCCCCCCAACGTGACGTGGCGTGGGGTGACGTGGGGTGACGTGGGGTGGTCCCTCCGGCAGACACGTGGAGGAGGACTCCGGAGCGTCCCCCCACCCTCTGCTCCTCGCCCCACGCTGCCGTGTTTGATTCCCAGGCACAGGTGGTCGGCCCCCCTTTCTCGACACACCGAGGAACGGAACCGACCTTAACTCCACTCCCTGCCCCCACCGCCACCACTGCTCTCACCCCTCCCCACAACACACACAAGTGCCTGGCAACAACCCCCTGTGTGTGTGTGTGTGTGCGCTACCCACTGCCCCCCCTTGCCCCCCTACCCACCGTCTCCTCCCCTCACCCGCTCCTCACCCCCCACCCCCCTCCCCCCACACACGCCTCCTCCCGAATGCTTGGGGGTGAGCAGGAAGCCAGGGCGGGGAAGGGCGGGTGGGAGTGCAGCAGCAGCAGCAACAGCAGCAACAACAGCAGCAGCAGCAGCAGCAGGGAGCCGCGGGTAGCGCCGCTGGCAGCAGCGGCGGCGGCAATGGCGGCGGCGGTGGCGGCGCGGCACAGGCGGTGCGCGAGGACGGGAAGGAGGAGCACCCCTGTGCGCTGCCGCCGCTGCAGACCAACAGCCGCGGGGAGGTGACCTTCCGCTGTGGGGAGTGCGGCAAGTGCTACCTGTGGCCGCCCTACTTCCGGCAGCAGCCTCGCCCCTACTGGTGATGGCGGCGGCGGCGGCGGAGGGTTGTGGGTGGGGCCCAGCTCCGCGGGGCCAACCCGTGCCGGCTCTCGCCGACCTCGCTTAGCCCGGCCGAGCGCCGTCTCTCGTCAGCCCCGACCCTGCAGCTGACACCGACGACGGCGACGACGACGACGGCAAGGACGGAACATCAGAGACCCGCCCCGGGGAGGGCCGCCTTGATGTGGCGGCGGCGGTGGGGGGTGGTGGGGGGCGGTGGTGGTGGGGGGCGGCGGGGGGGGGGGCGGAGGGGCGCAAGAGAGGGAACGGCGGCGGGCGTTGAGTTGGCGGGCAGAAGTAGAAGACTCCGCCACACTTCCTTAGCTTCGTTTGTTTGTTGTTTGGTTTTGTTTGGGAGTCTTGGGACGTGAGAGTGAAGGTGCTGCCAGCAGCAGCGGCAGCAGCAGCGGCGCTCCCCAAGTTAATCCCCAATGGTTTATTTGAAGGCTGCGGGTCCCCCTGTGGATTACGCACCACATCATCATCCTCCAACACCACCACGGATCTTGCCAAACTTGCAGTGGCCACGACCTTCCAGCGTCGGCATGAAACCACCAACCCCGATTCTCCTTCCTTGCTGCACATCGCCAAGCTTCGTGCGTGTACGGTGTCTCATTTCACCACCCACTGATGTCGATGATCATGATGATGGTGGTTGGTGGGAGAGCGTGGCGGTGGATGCACATCTTGGCGCGTCCTTCGTTTGACGCGGACGCTCGGCTCGTTTTGCTCTTCTAATTCTCGTGGGTTATCAACATCTTTTTTTTTGTTGTCGAGTGGTGGTGGTGATGATGATGAATCCTGGGCACAAATTCACGCCGATTAATCGCTGGCTTTAGAAGGCGGGTGATGGTGGCGGCGGCGGCGGGCGGCTTTAAGAGGTAAAAACGCAATTATTACTTTTGTTTGTATTTTTTCTCCTTCACCCCCGGAACCTCGTCCCCCCCGTCCCTCGTCCGTCATTTTGGTTTGGGGCTTCGCAGCGCTCCGATCATTTCTGAAGCGATGCTTTTGCGCTGCGGGCGATTTGATTTTCTTTCTTTCTCTCTCTGACATTTTTACAAGTGCATTTCAAGCAGAAGCGTTCCACCACAACGCTTGCGCACGCACGGCCGAGGCTGTTAAAACACACACAAGACGTTCTACCGATCGATCTAACCGTGTATATATGTAGTAACCGTGTTAAGGTGGCAACTGTATTTTAAGATGAGTCCAAATAAAACACGGAGAGGAGGAGGAGGGTGGGTGGGGGGTGGTGGGTTTGGTCTTTGTAAAAAAAATACTAATAATTGTTACGAATAATAGTTTGGGAGTTAAAACGCGGGGAAAAAAAAGTACGTAAAAAAAATGAGCGCCGTGGGTGTATTTTCATACGTGACGTTTTTTTCTTCTCTCCCACCCTCCGGCTAACCGTGCCTCTGCGTTTCAACGGAATTTGGGCAGAGACGCGCGGTGGCGTATCGCAAACGGGTCGCGGACTCCATCTTTTATTTTTCATCAAACCCACGGGAGCCGCCGTCGTTGGCCCGAAAAGACTTTCAAAAGCTTCCGCGGCCGCTCCGACTCGCACTGCCAGACCACCCCCCCCACCCCATCTCGTCCACGAGCTCCGTTCACCCCCCCACCACACCCCCTGTCAGGGGGGGGGGGGGCAAGAGTTCCTCTCCATCATGGGCAACCGCTGTTGATCCCCCCCCCCCCCCCCGCAACGTACGAAGTGAAACTTCTTTCGCTCCGTGGATGTCGCCCACCGCGCTGATCGGTTTTTTTTAATCGACGACGATTGGTTTCCCCCCCACCCACAAGCTCCCTCCCTCCGAGATAAGCCCCCAACCAGGATTTGACCTTCTCCGTGATGGAGGTCTGTGGAGGTCTGTCAACGTCTCGACTCCGTCACCGCAGCGGCAGGGGAGGCGAGCCTAAAGCCGGAACGTCAAAACTCATTAAAAATAAAATACATAAAAATTTCCCATTGTTTTTTATTTAGCCGGTCCGCTTGCTTCAGGGGGTCTCCCCCCCACCCCCCCCCCCCACCGGTATCGTAACTTTCAGCTGCCACAGACCCCCATCGTGGCCGTCGGGAGATTGAGGGGGGGGCGGTGAAATCCGTCGCCCTCCCCCAATCTCCAGAGCCTCAGAGTATTTATTCGCGGTTTGCTCTCCAGCAGCAGCAGCAGCAGCAGAGATGACGTCTCCTGGGAAGGACTTCCTGAGACGTTGATGATCACGCCAGCACTTGCATCCAGACAGCGCACTCCACGTGAATCGGGAGGCCTGCCTGCAACTTGTAAAGTCTCTTTGCTTTCACCCCGATCCCCCCACCTCCCACCCCAGGTAACGAAAACTTTTTCAGCTCTTTGTGGAACATTGCCGGTAGCCCTCCCACGGTGCCCGTTCCCAGCCCCCCGTGTAACCGCTGTGGCATCGTAATCGCCGCCACACGATGAAAGTGAAATCGTGCATATCCCTGCCTTATCGCGTGTACGCCGCTTGTGCGTTTACGACGAAGCTCCCACCCCGCACCGCCTTGACCGACTGGTGGGGCCGCGTTCTGTCAGCGAGCAGCACCCATCAAGGCCGGCACGAGGCGGAGTGGCCAGCACCACGCGGGAATGGAACTGGGATTCTGCGCTCGCTCGCTTTGCTTAGCGCTGCGGTTCGTGCCAAGCGCTTTGCCGCACAAAACTCGCCGGGTGTTACCGACTGCAAAATGACTCCCCGCGTCGCAAAACTAGAGGAGGTTGCAAAAATCTCGCTCGCCAACATCGTTCGGAGAAATAAAAAAGATTCGGAGCCGCCCTCGAAATTGACTATCGTGGCGAGGGGTTGGGGGGGGGGGGGCTTAGGGCACCAGCGTCGTCTGAAAAAAACTATAAAAGCAGCTGGAAGGGAAATCGTCCAGGGGAGCGGGGGGGAGGTAAAGCCGGGCATCTTGAGAGGGCTCTGGTGGGCGAGAAGGTAGAACCCGCATCGCTATAATCACGTCACGTCACAGCGATCCGCTCTATCCGGCTTCATTTCTACACGGGCGCGCACGCACGCACACACAATTGTACATAAATAAGACTTTATTTGATAACTTTGTAATTTACTAATTATTGCAGGCGCTGTCGCTCTGCGCAGAGTGGGAAGACGGAGGGGAGTGTGGTCCCCCTCGGCCGTGCATGTTCTTTTGTTTGTGGGGCAGGGGTGGTGGTGCTGAGAGCACCCACAACCAGATACCCACCCACCCCCCCCCTCCTCCTCCTCCTCGTGTGTTACTGGACACTATATATTATCTTTGTTATAATAACCCTACCGTAGCTGTTATAAGAGAAAAAAACCCCGTGTTTCCAATGTATAGTTAGTGTGACAGGAAGGTGGTTATTTTATATTAAAATTCAAATAAAAACACGTGTGCGCACACATACAAACCTCTTATTCCTCTTCACCCCCCCCTCCCCTCTTCCAACATACAGCATTTCAGGAGTGAGGGGGGGGGGGTCCACACCCAGCACACCACCACCCCCTTCAGACTCATCCCGAACCCGGACTCCGAGAGGTTTGGCTGTGGTTGGAACGCCACCCCCACCTACCCACCCGACCCCCCCCCTCATTGCTTTTCTATGTGACAAATGTAACACTGTATGTGCAAAAAAAACGGAATAGCCCCCCCCCCCCTCCCGTATGTTGTTGTACTAAAATAAAGTGTTTTATGAAGGTTGTACGTTCATTTGTCGAGTGGGGTGGCGTTGGGGAGGGGTGTGCTGTGGGTTGGTGGTGGGGTAGGGGGTGAGCGGGAGGTTGAGTGGGCGAGGTAGGTGAGGGGTGGGGTTTGGGGGGAGGGAAAATCCATCCTTGGCTGAAGGGATGAACTGGAGCAGAGTGGACTTGGCAATGACTGGTACCAGCGGTGTCAAGATCGGCCTCTGGAGGAGGCTCGTGACGAGGCCTTTACTGGACAATTGGAGGCAGTTGCCCGCCAGCAACAACGGAGGGCGGAGGAGCGACGCTCACAACGAGAGGAGCACCGGGTGGCTAAAGCACAGCAAGTTGGCACAGTAGGGGGCACAGGTGATGCATCAGCCAGTCATCTCAGTCAGCCAACCCATGGCACCTGCTGGGTCTGTCCCCTGACCAACTTGCAGGCATATGACACTTCACGTGGCCTCTGCACCTATCATGGCACTTAGTACCTAATAATGCACTGGCCCTGGGCCTCCTCTAGATCCACCCAGCCTCAACTGAGAAACTGGTGCGGTGTCAAGTAAATATTTCCAGAGAGGTGGCCAGGCGTGGTGCTGACCACCCCACCCCCTGCCGTGCCCACCTTCATTAGGCGCTCGCTAACAGCTTTGGCTAAATGGGAGATTTTAACACGTTGGCTTTCGCGACCAATGTTATTCATAATCAAGGTTATTGGGTCAGATCGCGTTATTTATAAATGTGTCGTAACCCTCTACCACCCGACACAGCCAAACAGTAAAAAATGTGTCACGTATTCAAAGGACAAATAAATTGACTTCTCTAGCCCACCCGTGTGCTGATTGTTCAAACAATTAAAATTCCATACATCTCAGGAGTAACTGACAAATTAGCCCGGGTTTTGCAAAAGCAAAACATTAAAGTAAGATTTGGTACAGTGCACAAAATTCAAAAACTGGTATCTGGCACTAAAGACGAATTGCCTAAAGTATCAACAGAAGGTGTATATCGGATTAATTGTTTATGTGGCAGATGCTATATTGGACAGACGGGACGCAACATCAGCGTAAGACTAAAAGAACACCAAAGAAACATTAAATTATCTCAAACACAACTGTCGGCAGTGGCAGCGCATGCTTGTCAACAAGGACACTCAATTGATTTTGATAACGTTGAAGTGTTGTGTAACACTTAATTACTACTGGCAAAGACTAATTAGAGAATCCATTGAAATTAAGAGAAACAGAAATAATTTCAATCTCTCTGACAGCTACAGGCTGAGTGCGGCCTGGAAGCGTATTATCAGATAAATACAATCTAACCTATATAATTCATTTTTTGTCTGTCTGTCCGTCCGTCTGTCCTGCGTACGCTCCCTTCCGGGGGATTTAGCTCTCGGACCGTGGGGTTCGCCGAGATTAAATTTTGCAGGTGGGCACGCCCCCGGCCCCGCAGTAAACTTAGGCATTTACAATTTTTCGTCTCTAAACTTTAAATCGGACCGATAATCAATTTAGTGCGATTT